AAAGGATATTTCTTAGATATTACATTCAACCTACAGAACAGAACCTATAAACCCTACAAAAAAAACAAGCAACACAATACACAGTGGGCTACCAAGCAAAAATATGAATTTTTTTTACAACTTTTTCAAAATGATTTGAGATCTAAAAATTTGGAAAGTTCATTCGCTCTGGTGTTCTCAGTTGTCTTCTAACTCCAAATATTATTCAAGATATGGCCATTTGAAGTTTGTGTATTCCAGATTTTAACGTTTGGAAAATTATGGGTGAAGTAAAGATTTGGCTAGTAATTTGCTAAAATGTCTCCAATACCTCCATTTTAGGGCATTTTGAAGTCTACAGACACAAAAGATTGAAGTATCTGCATAAATTAGGGTAATTTCTTCTAGGTTTTAGCAATTTTTGCAGAAATTAGATTGAACAATACACATTTTTGCCCCCAAATTTGGTCCAAATTTGGGTCCAGAGGTCTACATTTAAGGAATGACTGCAAAAAAATTCCCAAGATTAATCTTTTTAAGGTTTACAATTTAAAATTGAGAGTTGGCAACCTTTCTGAAAATGTGTGGTTGAAAAAAATAGAAAACCTTTGCTTGTAAAATTTTATCCATTTCCTGTTATCAAATGGGGGTCTTGGATATACAAAAACATATATAATTTGTCTAATTTTTTGCCAAATGTATTGACCAAGACCTCTATCTATATGTTCTTGAAGGTGCTGAATCCATTTTTAGCACTTATGAGTTGATATCTGGTCATCTAGAGCATGAAACCTCCATTTCATGGTATTTTCACCTAATTTTAGCCCTCAAAACTGGCTCTTGGTGTCCCCTCAATTTCAATTTCACAATAAAAAGTGTACATTCAAGTATTCTTATAACTTGGGAACCCCTCATCTGTTTATGGTGATTAAGTGCTCGTTAGAAGTGTATGAGGGAATGGAATACAGAGAAATCAGTTTGATTAGGAAAAATCCAAAATTTTGGGGCGTCTGGGACCCAAAAACCCTAACTTAGGGATATTATGCCGAAATCCTGCAAACACGTTTGTAGGTATATCTTGATAAATAATAATGGTATGATGTTGGTTGAGTGCTCATTGGAAGCATATGAGGGAGTGGAATACCAAAACATCAATTTTATTAAAAATACTCAAATGTTTGAGAGTCTGAGACCCATAAACCCTCTAATTTGGGGATATCAGGCCCAAATCCTGAAAATGCATTTTTAGTCATATCTTGATAAATAATAATGGTATGATGATGGTTGGGACCTCATTGGAAGCATAGCAGGGAGTTAATGCAACATAATCAAATCTGAAATATTCAAAAATATGCCTGAGCCAAAACCTTAATTTGGGAATGAAGTGTCCCAAGTTATAGGCAAATGTTTGTTTGACCCCAACATGAGCCCATAAACTATACTGAGAGGAATGATCAGCAATAATTAGTTTTAAAAACCAAAATAAATTCTTAAACAAGAAAACTGAAATAATGGGCATATAAATATTTATTTTGTCATCTAAGCACCAACTAAAGATAAATAAAATAAATATAAACTTTAAACAAATGAAAAAAATATATAATACAAACTTTAAATAAAAGAAACAAATATAATATAAACTTAATTTATTAAAGTACACACATATGTGTGGACATGTACATACACTAATAAACACCAAAAAATGAACAAACCTAACCCTCCATAATACCTCAATAAATAACATGAAAGCAAAAAAAAACTACTAACCTTTAAATAAAAATGAAACATTAAATAAACGATAACATGATATAGGCATACACTTATTTTAATTACATATACACTATTTAACAATTACATATATATGAATGTGAGCAGCATGCATGAGTATGTAATATATATATATATTATGTAACCAATGATATTTAAAAAATTAAATAACTTCACCATTTATGCACTAGATTATTAATAACAAAGCATAGGCTTAAGTGTACATGTATGCATAAGTATTTACCATTTAAGCCAAAAAAAATCTAAAAAGCCCATAAAAAAATAAAGTAAATAAATAACTAAAAATAGGTCACATGTCTTGAGTCAGAACAAACCCAGACTAAGTTTACTACAGATGAAAAAAAAACAGGAAAAAGACTAAATGAGGAAGTGTAAAAAAAACAAAAAAACAAAAAAAAACAAACACAAAGGGCAAAATCATCACAACACACATCCATGCAGATGGGCACACATGCTTCTTTTTTTTTTTTAATCATTTCACCCACGCAAGGCAACAAAGCCACTAGGACACAAAGAGTGACAGGCTATAAAAGATAATGAGAAGATTTTAATGAGAAGAAGTGAGGAAAAGGACAATAAAGGAACAGGATTCAGAAGATAGCAATTGATTTTGTATTTAAATTTTTGAATCTAGTAGGTGGCAGGGAAGCAAGAAATCAAAAGAGAAATCCACAAGCAAGAAGTACGAGAAAAGAAACTATTAGAATAGAACATATGGTTGCATCTAGTTCAAGAGTAAAATGGTGAAACCTAGTTGCCAATCTAGTAGCATGCTTAAATTAATGCAGTAAGAGTATGAAGGAGGACAGCTCATCAGAACAATTTGTCATGAAAATATTTGTAGAAAAAAAACAGAGGCAAGTGACATTACATCTGTGAGAAAGTTACTGAAGTTGAGATGCGAGGTAATAGATGCTGCATTTTCATTTATAAATGGTGTATATTACATCTTTTGTCCTGTCTGTATATTCAAGAAACCTGTGTCTCACATTATAGGGGAAAACCACCTTTTGAGTGAAGATGTGCTTTCCTTAAAAATGGAAAACAAAGCCTTGCTTACTATGATGTTCTTTGTGGCTAAGTAGTAAAGCACACCAGATCAAATGAATGTCTCCCTACAGAGGAAAACATAGGTTCAATCCCTGCCAGAGAATACATTTTCTTTATTAGGTTTTTTTTTGAATGTGCAAGCTGATAGGCATAATACACAATCTTTTATATATGTATATATACACACACACACACACACACACACACACACACACACGCACACACACTTCTCATAATAATTCATTGAGTCTAGAACAAGAATCCTCAACAGAATAACAAAAAGCACTGGATGGCCATTTTGGGACTCATCAACAGTGCATATCCACTACAGAGAATTGAACATGAACCGCTATATTGAGTCAAGTTAGTTTCCTCTTCATCACCAAGGCCTGCTGGCCCAGTGGGATGATGCTTGCATTGTATCATAATGGTCCAGGTTTAATTCTTGGTAGTGGATGTGCACTGCTGATGAGTCCCAAAATATCCGAAACAGCTGTCCTGTGCTTTCTGCATTCTGTTGAGGATTTTATATATATGTAGGGATGTTTTATTTTCCGAACACAGTTAGCACATTGTGGCCATGTTTGTAGTTAATATTATTGAGTGTTGGCTTTTTCTTTTTTGTTATTAAGGCTTCCATTATTTTTAATCCTTTTTTTTTACATGTGGATGAGGTTATTATATTTGTATTTTCTACTAAAATAAAACATGCCTATAACTCTAGAAACATACACACAACATATACACCGAGGTAAAAAGTAAAAATAAAATCATCATTGATAATGGCTAAAAGTATAGCCAAAAGTGCTTGGAATTACAGGACATTTGGACAGTTTCTGCACACTATGTCCAGAAAAGAAAACACTTGATTGAACACAAGAAAAATTAAATAAAAAGCATAATGACAGTACTCTGTCTGTCATCTTTAATGAAACATGTAAACACACACAACCACAACATGTATACAAATGCATACACAAACACTATGTGAAGATTATATATATGTTAATCAATTCACCCCAATGCCACTAAGATGCCAGGGTTTACTGGAAGTGAAAGAGAATGAAAAAACTTTAGAAGAGACTGGAAACCCAATCGTAAATCAGAAACAAGGGATAAATCTCTGCTCTTGTTCAAAAGAACAGGGAGGAATATATATATATATATATATATTATTTAAAAATTATAACATAAATATGTTATAAAATCACTACAAAAATAGCCATTTTGTTTCAACATCTCCTGTGTCTTATCAAGTGATCACTATATATATCTTACTTATTATAAAACCCATTGTGTGTGCGTGTGTGTGTGTGTGTGTGTGTCTGTACGTTTATATATTGGATTGGATTTCCTACATTTTTCAACTGATTTCAACAAAACTTTACAGGACTACGTAAAATTAACTTGCGGTGGTTCTAACAGCACCAAAAATTGGAAAAACAATTGTTTTTGCATGAAATCAATTTGAAAACACGATTAAGAGGCATCGCTTTCGTGGAATGAAAGGGGGACAGCTCAAATCGAGTTATACTTATTATAAAACCCAGGTTGTGTGTGTGTGTGTGTGTGTGTGTTCCTTTATATATGGGATTGGATTTCCTATATTTTTCAACCGATTTCAACAAAACTTCACTTTTTTTGGCAGGTAGTGTTTTATTGTCTTGCACACTTTTTTTTCTTTTATTTTTCCATTCAGAATGCTTTAAAAATTCCATTTACAAGACAATTGTTTATAATAAAATTTATTCAATCGGTAGACACATAACGATTGAAAACAATGTTTTTGTTTGAGTTTAGGTTTGACCAATTCGTAAAAAAAAAAAAAAACTAATTAAGACATGCGTGTTTGTCAACCTTAATCAATAATCTTTGTCAATTTATTTTTCAGTCTTTGTGATGGTCGATACTTGATATATCTCTTACTGTTACATCCCCGGCAACGCTGGGTTTTACTATATATATATATATATATATATATATATATATATATATATATATAAAAGGAGCACTATATATATATATATATATATATATATATATATATATATATATAAAAACACATATATAAATATACACACAAGTATTACATGCATATGCACACACACATTCTACATGCACACAAAATATTTGTATACCCAGGTGAGTGTCAAGACATACACACAAAACCGAAGACCACTTACCGGATCCTATAAGAGTCAAAGCAAGTGAGCCAAGCACTACTTTCCAGTTCTCTCGGATCTTTGGATGTTTGTACCAGCTAAAATAAGAATAAAAAGAAAAACACAATCAGCCCAAAATATATTCAGTAAGAATTTGTATAAAGTAAAAAACAAGGATGACTAAATTCAATCATTGCTTAAATAAAAAATACATTCCAGTTTCTTATTACTAGTTTTACTCCATCTTATAATATGAAGTGAAAAAAAATCTATTAATTAACATAAAGTGTTTATTGACACAATATTGTGATAAAAGCAATTATACTATGTTGGAGTAAAACTTGTAATAAAAAAATAATACAATGTAGAGACAGAAAGGATTGACTGAAACATTGTGGTAACAAAAAAAAAGCAATACAAAGAATGAGTTCAATAGTCTGAAGAACTCTTGGAATGATAATGACTCTTCTCAAAATTAGAGAAGGTAGATATAGAATGGATTCATTATCATTCCAAGAGTTCTTCAGACTATTGAACTCATTCTTTGTATTGCTTTTGTTGTTACCACAATGTTTCAGTCAATCCATTCTATATCTACCTTCTATAATTTTGAGAAAAGTCATTATCATTCCAAGAGTTCTTTAGACTATTGAACTCATTCTTTGTGTTGCTTTTTTTGTTACCACAATGTTTCAGTCAATCCATTCTGTCTCTACATTCTATGTCTACTTTCTAATCATGGCAATTCCCCTTTTCCACAGTTGTGGGTTAAATACCAGATTAGAGTGGGCTCTCTAGCTCTGGATGGCAGTCGATCTAGAAGAAGTCATGATAGTTCATTTTTTCTCAGTTACAGATTAAATGGCAAGGTAAATAGTGATATGTAGCAATGGATGGCAACTGCTTTAGTATCTTCCCCAAGAAATCATAGCAACTCAGAGATAATAAAGAAACTGTGGAGGTCTATGACCACATACATCCTGAAACGAAATGGCTCCCTTAGAAACAGAAAAAAAAAAGGTAAAACGACTTAGACAAGTATTATTAGCTTGTTCATCAAATGCAGATATGAGAACTTATGCAAACCAATTTAACATAATAACCTAAACTGCTGAGAGGGTAACATAAAAAAAACTGTCCTATTTTATATCTTGAGATTCTGGACAAAATCTAAAGAGGAATCTGCAATATTATCAATCCCGACATGACATCTTGGCTTTAATCACCCCCACCCTGCCACAACATAGCTTCCCTTTGCCTTTTCTATAAATATTTTCATGGTAATTGTTCTAAATGAGCTTTCCTCTTTGATACCACAACTTTACGAATTTAAGCAAAGATTGGCAGTTCAATCTCATCATTTTACAGTTTAAATTCATGGATGTAACTGTAAGTACTATTCTGATAGTTTCTTTTCTCCCACTTTCGCTTGTAAAACTCTTCTAGCTTTCATGTCAACTACAATCTACAAAAGTTAAATGCAATATCAATCATCATCATCAGTCTCCTTGAATCCTGCTCTTTTGATTGTGCTTTCTCCTCGGTAATATTTTCTCAGTTTCCATAACTCTATTCAATGTGACTTGCCTCATCACACAGCAGTGAGGTAGCTCAGCTTTGGTAAAATCCTCTTTCATTTTTATAAGCTCCAAAGAGAAATAGATATTTTTCTCACCAGAAAAAATAGAGCTGATCCACTTCTGTCAAATCTTACCTGGCTGTCAAAGTTGTCATTTTTGGTTAACATCATATCCCACGTGAATGAATTAAATCTGAAACTTATCTGTGAACTTAACCTTATCTGTGCTCTCTACAGAATCATCAAGGGATTTCGGAGAAAGTTATCGTTGTTTGAAGCACAACTGGAAGGATGAAATTTCTCTCATTTTCAGTGTTTCAAGGAGTTTTGCACTGGAATTGCAAGAGATGTCAACATCGAGTTTCCAAAGAAGAATATTCATGATTTAAATTAAGCATTTTTTGGAGAGATTTTCAGATTTCGAGAGAATTGAGAGTGACATTCTTCAGTTCCAAAATGTTTGATTGTAACTTTGATGACATGCCAGTTGAACTACAGTTAAACTCATTGATTTACAAGCAAGTGACTTGTTGAAAGAGAAGCACAGAGAAGGAAAACTTCTTGAATTTTACTGCTGCTTAAGTAATGATGACTTTTTGAAGTTGAAGAAATTTGCCTCTGGTCAGGCATCAGTGTTTGGAACAACATTTGAGCAAACATCATCAAAAATGAAGTATGCAAAGTCAGCACATTGACATTTGAAAGCAATTCTCTTGTTTGGATGTAGCAATTCCAAAGCAAATATTGATTATATCTTAAAAGGTAAACATCAGTTTCACAAATCTAACCTTTTTTGCTGCTTAGTTTGAGAGATTCAGATATGCATGCACTGGGTGGGATATAACTATTTTATTACTAATATTGTCTTCTTTAGTAACTTTTTGGTAAATAACTATGTTTGTTATCTTTATTTTTTGTCTATTCAGTGTATTTTATTGAAGGAAATGGTTATCTCAGTTATTTGAGATAATTATTAATTATCTCTGTGAAAAAAATTTGGTGACCACAGCTCTATTGTCTTTCATCATCAATAACCTCTTGCATCTTAGTGGCTTTATTGCCTTGCTTGAGGTGAAATGAATAAAAAAAACAAAACAAATACTCAAGTAAACATAATAATATTGCAATGATCTCTTAAAAAATATAATAATTATTAGATAGTCAAGGTTGACAATAGGAGTAAGAGATTTCTGATCATAACATCGGAGCAGGTAAAGTTATTATGGGAGAGTGTTTTGCTCAAGTGTTGACTTCCACATATTCTTCTCCATTGATCTTTGTAGCAGGCCAGTGAAAAGACAATATATCAAGTTATCTTGTGTTAGGACAGAGTGAAGTGAAAAGTGGATTCGTGCCTTTCCCAAGTAATTGATAAGTTGTCAGCTGATTCTATTGCACCAGAAAATACTCAACTGCCATGCTTTATCTTTAGTTGAGTCAGATTAGACTAAAAATGGAGTATTATTATTACTACCATACCTAGGTTGAAGTAGTCCGATCCTAATGCTCCAGCTTTGATAGAGTTTAAAGTGGTTTACGCAGCTCTGTCGGGGGGAATGACATATTTTCCCCCTTGCAACCACATTCCAACAGATTTAATGTTGCAAGCTTGTCACTACTCTATCGCTTACTTTATTGCTTGTCTTCTTAATTTTCAAGTCCTACTCAGGTAGGTCCAGGGGCATCGTTAATGGCCAGTCTTCTGAAGTCCATCAGATCAATGCAGTCAGCCCTAATGATCTCTCTCTCCTTGGCCCTACCAACAGCTTTTTATTAATTTGCCTAGGAACATTCCCACATCATTAGTAAATATCTATGCACAGATGATTCCTTGGTTTATGGAAGCACCTCCAAAAATCAAGAGGATTACTACAAGACATTGGAATAGTGATACTGGTCAAGACTACATTGTTCTCCCTACTAAACCTGATTGTCCGTACTAACACTTTTCTACTTCTCTGTATATATTCCTGTTTGTAATATATCTGTGTTATTCCATATCTGTGTTCGAGTTCTTCTTTATTGGTTCTACCTTGGACTATCATCGTGGTACAAGGACCTGGACTATAACAGTTTGTAATTCTCAATACCTTAAAAATCAAGCTAGTATCCTTTCAATATCATTTTCTCCAGTCCCTATAAACAGCTGCTCTCTCAATGAGTCCATTTGTGTTGAGGAGTCGTTTACTCTAAACCTTAAGTTTGACACGTTTGTCATTTTCTCAGTTATCTGGCCCTCTGTGAAAAAAATTTGGTGACCACAGCTCTATTGTCTTTCATCATCAATAACCCCTTGCATCTTAGTGGCTTTATTGCCTTGCTTGGGGTGAAATTCTCCACTTTGTAGTCTCTTTCTCATAAATGCAAGCCTGTCACTATTTTATTGATATTTCCATTGCCAAAGATGCTGAGAAAATCGTTGGCTCACTCTAATGCTACAGAAAGTACTTGGCCCCTTCTTTACAAAAGTCAGATTAGACAAAAAAATGGAGTTCTGCTGCCATATTTGGATGGGAGCTACTCAATCTAACATTACAGCCTTGATAAGCATATGGGTGATATCACATTGAAATACCAGTTCTTGTCTGATCACCAAAGTTAAGCAATATCAAGCCTAGTCAGTACCTAGATGAGTGACTGCTTTGGAGTACCAGGTACTGTGAGCTCTGATGTGCAGGTGGTGTAATAGATAACAGCTCAGAATAGGAGATCAGAGAACCAAGTTCCAATTGGGTTCATTATATTCACTTACACACAAATACCAATGGGAAAAGTATGAATCTACCTCTTATCCCTCCCAGCTATGGGTTAAATAATAGGACTTGTATCAGTAAATCATGATTATCTCAAAAAATTCTTACAATCTAAAAATATTTTTTTGGCTTTAAATAACCTGCAATGGGTTGATAAGCCATAAAAAAAATCAAATCAATTCAGCCTTGATAGAATTCAAAATTGTTCATGCAGTCTTGTGAGAGAAGGCATTCTCCACTTTGTAGTCTCTTTACCATAAATGCAACATCCCAAGCCTGTCACTATTTTATTGTTATTTCCATGGCAAATGTTCAGATGAGCTCCATTCTTTAGTTCCACATAAGCTGCCTTATTGAAAATTCAAACTTGGTTATTGATTCTGTCTTTATTATGCAGTCAACATTGTTACTTTTCAATGTCCTCCAGATACATACAAAATACTACTGAGAGAATCCAATACAAATTACTCTAAGTGTAATATTATTGTCAATCAGATCAATGAAAAAAAGACAAGACTTAATCTCTCATAATATAACATTACATTTTATTCAACTTTCAGTTTTTAAATAGATTGTAGAAATGATGTTACCACACAATTTAAAAAAAAATAAGCTGGTTATTTTTTTTTTTTTAACTGAGTTCGCCCCATGCAAGGCAGTAAAGTTTTAAGACACAAAAGGTTGTTGGGTGTGGAAGAATTAGAAAATAGAAACATTACTAAAGAGCAAGAACAAAAAAGATTAATCAGGAGGACAGTAGATAGCAATTGACATTGGATTTAAAGTTTTGAAGATTAAAGTTGGCTGGAAAGTATGGAGCCAGAAGGGAGTTGCATAAGCAAGAAAAGAAACTGTTAGCATAGAACTTATGGTCACATCTAAGCCAATTTAACTGTAAATTGATGAGACTCCATTGCCAGTCTAGTACTGCACTTAAATTCAAAACGTCTAGGCACCATAGTGAAGAGCTCATCTGAAAAATAACCATGAAAGAATTTATAGATAAGGCATAGGGAGTTAACTTTACAACAATGAGAAAGTGACTGAAGCTGAGATGCCAGATCAGGACCAATAATATTGATGATTCTTTGGATTTTATCAAGAATTTCTAAATATATAGCAGAAGCATCAGACCATATGTGGCAGCAATATTTTAAGCATGGATGAATGGTAGACTTATAGATATTAAGATAAATTCTGGAGGGAAAAATTGTCTAGCACAACACAGTGAACCAACTTTCTTAGCAACTGACCTATCAATGGATTCAACATAGTCTCTCCATTTCATGTCAACCAAGAATGTTAACCCAAGAAGAAGCAACAGGTCACTCTCCTGGAGGTTAGCATCAGTCATACTAATAGAAGGCAAAAATGGGTCTCTCAGTTGATTAATAGAGAGCACTTTAGTTTTGGAGGTGTTAAAATTAACAAGCCATCCATTACTCCATTTAACAACAGACTGAAGGTTGTAGTGGTTAAACCTTAGAAGTCATGTGATAAAATTATGTTTAGTCATAAAACCAGTGAGTGTTATGATCTAAGCAAGGTATAATATAATTTTTTTGTGTTTTTATTTATGGATGGTTGTTTTTGCTGTACGAGTCTTGCTTCAAGGATCATAAGTCTGTTTTTTTTTTATTTTACTAGTATTTTGGTATTGTTTGTAAGTAGCTGCCAATTGTCACAATGATCCTCATGTGTTGTCTGATGGCATTACTAAGAGAATGGAAAATCCATGTATAAGAATGAACTGCACAATAATTTTAACTCTAGCGGTACACTGAAAATCAGGAAGAAAAATATTTCCAATGACCAGGATTCAAGGCAGATGTTACTGACTCACTAGGTCTATTATATGCAATATAAGTGTATTGCTAATCATTTCATTATAGACAGTTGCTAATGAATTTTACATAAAATGCATTGAAAATCAGGATGTAATGGATTGTCAGTTGTCAGTAATTAAGGTAGGTGTTACTAACAGAATAGAACTATTCTATATAAAACAAATATATTACTAATGGTTTTATTATAGAAATATCTGATCAGTTCGATAAGGTCATATGACAGATCTAAAAATTACCTAAAATCTGTTGTTAAATGGGGGCAAGGAGTGGCTTGTTAATTTTAATGCCTTTGAAAAGAAACTGCTCTCTTTTAATTGTCTGAGAGAACCCCTTTTACTTTCCATCAGCATGGCTGATTCTAACCTGCAGGAGAGTGATTCATTGTGCCTTCTTGAACTGATGTTTTCTGCTATTAAAGAGTGGAAAGTGTCTACTGAATCACTTTGCTAAGTCTACAGCTAGAAAAGTTGGTTCACTGTGTCATGGTAGACAAGATGCAAAAGAATTTAGTTTTGAAATGCATTGAAAATCAGTAAGTAATAGATTGCCAGTTGTCAGTAATTAAGCTAAGTATTACTGACAGAATAGAACAATTTTATGTTTAATGAAAATGCGTTAATAATGATATTTACTATAGAAGAGCATCGTAAATCTATTTGCTATAAACTGCATTGAAAATTAGGAAAAAATGTATTGTCAGTGGTCAGGAATTAAGGTAAGTATTACTGACAGAATAAAACAATTTTATGTTTAATGAAAATGCATTAATAATGATATTTACTATAGAAGAACATCGTAAATCTATTTGCTATAAACTGCATTGAAAATTAGGACAAACTGTATTGTCAGTGGTCAGGAATTAAGGTAAGTATTACTGACAGAATAAAACAATTTCATGTATAATAGAAATGCATTAATGATATTTACTATGGAAGAGCATTGTAAATCTATTTGCTATAAACTGCATTGAAAATTAGGAAAAAATGTATTGTCAGTGGTCAGGAATTAAGGTAAGTATTACTGACAGAATAAAACAATTTTATGTATAATAGAAATGCATTAATAATCTTACTTATTATAAAACGCAGATTGTGTGTGTGTGTGTGTGTGTCTGTACGTTTATATATTGGATCGAATTTCCTACATTTTTCAACCAATTTCAACAAAACTTCACAGGACTACGTAAAATTACCTTGCAGTGGTTCTGACAGCACCAAAAATTTGAAAAACAATTGTTCTTGCACGAAATCAATTTGAAAACACGATTAAGAGGCATTAATGAAAGGGGGACAACTCATATTGAGTTATACTTATAATAAACCCAGGTTGTGTGTATGTGTGTTCTTTTATATATGGGATCGGATTTCCTACATTTTTCAACCGATTTCAACAAAACTTTTACTTTTTTTAGCAGGTAGTTTTATTGTCTTGCACACTTTTTTTTTTATTTTTCCATTCAGAATGCTTTAAAAATTCCATTTACAAGACAATTGTTTATATTAAAATTTATTCAATCGTTAGACTCATAAAATGCATTGAAAACAATGTTTTTGTTTGAGTTTGGGTTTGACTAATTTGTAAAAAAACAAAAAAAAAAAAAAAAACTAATTAAGACATGCGTCCCGTCAACCTTAAACAATAATCTTTGTCAATTTTATTTATCAGTCTTTATGATGGTCAATACTTGATCTATCTCTTACTGTTACATCCCTAGGCAACACCGGGCTCATTGCTAGTATATTATAAAATATTTATAAAAATAGATATAATAAATATTATAAAATAAATATATTTTAAAATAATTATTAAATTATATCAAAATATTATTTTAACAGTATATTAAATTATTTATATATATTCTCTATTTAAATTAATTTTATTTACATAAAATTAGAGTTCTCAATTCGATGAGCTGTTATTGCCCTTTCAAGTTTTTTGTAGTGTGGAAAGTTAGCACCTTGATTATATTGTTTTCTCTTCTAATTCCATATACTACTCATGTACCATACAACATTTTAGAAAATTAATTATTCCTCCCTTGTTACTTTCTACAATTGGAAAAAGACATTACCATACAAAGACCAGTTTGGACCACTGACCTCATCCTTTTTGATATTTTTTTGTTAACAGAGTGATTCAGATATTTCACACTATAGCATTTTTGTAATTTTGAGATGTGTCATTATAAATACATGTATTGATCATATGACTCCTCAAAATTATCAGAAGTAGAGATAGAATGGATTGAGGAAACATTGTGGTAACAACAAAAGCAATACAAAGAATTTATTCAATAGTCTGAAAAACTCTTGGAATGATAATGACTCTTCTAAAAATGATAGAAGGTAGATATAGAATGGATTGACTGAAACATTGTGGTAACAACAAAAGCAAATCAAAGAATGAGTTTGATAGTCTGAAGAACTCTTGGAATGATAATGACTCTATTCAATCGGTAGACTCATAACAATTAAAAACAATGTTTTTGTTTGAGTTTGGGTCTGACCAATTCGTAAAAAAAAAAATATATATAAAACTAATTAAGACATGCATATCTGTCAACCTTAAACAATAATCTTTGTCAATTTTATTTTTCAGTTTTATGATGGTTGATATTTGATCTACCTCTTACTGTTACATCCCTGGGCAATGCCGGGCTCTACTGCTAGTATTTACTATAGAAGAACATTTTAAATCTATTTGTTATAAACTGCATTGAAAATTAGGAAAAAATGTACTGAATACTTTTGGTTTTGATACTGAACATATTTTTTAATTTTATTTTTTACTTTACTTTTCTCTGTAATGTTCCCATCAGACAAAAGAAAAACAAGTTCTTTGATTGCTTCTTTCAAAAAGGCTACCATTAAATATTGATAAGTTGTTGCACTCTAAACAATTGAGTCAGTCAACACATGCAAGCCTTTCACAATTACTAAACTTGGAAGATTTTGTAGGAAGGCCAATTTTATTGATGTGTTAGACTGCACAGATGGTAATAATTTATGTCATCACCAGTACCTGAGCATATTAAGAGGATGCATTGTGTTGCTAAGAGAGTTTGGTATATGGAAGTTGGAGGTATGGGTGAAAATTGATGCATTTGGGGGTGGTGATTGGTTAGGTAGTGTGGATTTGGCTACATTTGCAGGTGAAAACATTTTATACAATTCTTGCATAGAAAATAATAGATGAAAATCTCAAATGACCATGTTTGTACATAGTGATTCTTTTGTGCATAATGTAATCTTCTACGTATTACAAAATTATGAATCTATTTTATTCTCTTAAAGAATGTGAACTTTTAAATTTAAATGTAAAAAAACATTCTCCTGTATAATATGACCTTTTATATCTAGATGTAAAGAAACATATTTTATTCTCTCATAGAATGTGACACTTTATAATATGCAAAAAAAAAAAAAAAAAAAAAAAAACACGTTTTATTTCCCTGAGTAATATTATACAAGGGAATATTTTTTTCATATTAACTTCATATAAGGGAATATGTTTTTTTTATATTAATATTATATAAGTGAATATGTTCTTTCATATTAATATTATACAATAGACTCTATATGACATTTATATTTACAAAAAGAAATTCCCTTCTATAATATTAATATAAAAATATATTACTTTGTATAATATTAATATGAAAGAACATATTCCCTCATATATTAAGATAAAAACATATTCCTCGTATAATATTAAGATGAAAAAACATATTCCCTTGTATAATATTAAGATGAAAAAACATATTCCCTCGTATAATATTAAGATGGAAAAACATATTCCCTCGTATAATATTAAGATGGAAAAACATATTCTCACATATAATATTAAGATGAAAAACATATTCCCTCGTATAATATTACGATGAAAAAACATATTCCCTCGTATAATGTTAACATGGAAAAACATATTCCCTTGTATAATGTTAACATGGAAAAACATACTCCATTGTATTTTTTTTAATCATTTCAACCAAATCACTGCAATAAGGTCAATAAGACACAAGGGGTTACTGAGTGTGAAAGAATAAGAAAAACATTATTAAGGAGTGAGAATAATAAAAGAAGAGGAATCAAGAAGACAGTAGATAACAATTGACATTGCATTTGAATTTTTGAAAGTCAAAGTTGGCCTGAAAAGCAAGAAGCCACAGGCAAGAAGTGCAAGAAAAGAAACTGTCAGCAAAGAACTTACAGTTACATCTAACCATTTCAACTGTAAAATGATGAGACCTTGCCTCCAATCTAGAAATGTGCTTAAATTCATAAAGCAAAGTTCATCAGAACAATTACCATGTCTTTATAGAAAAGGCAGTGGGTGACTATATCATGGTGGTAAGAAAGTGACTGAAGTCCAATAACTAATGTCTGGAGATGAATGGCAGACTTGTGAATATGTAAGATAGATTCTGGTAGGAAAAATTATCTTGGTCAACACAATGAACCAACTTACCTAGAAGCAGACCTAGCAATTGATTCAATATAATTTCTTCACTTCATGTTAGTAGAAAGCATTAACTCAAGAAAGAGTAATGATACCCTTTCCTGAAGATTAGCATCAGCCATGCTAATGGAAGGTAGAAAGTATTTTCTCTGATGATTAATTCAAAGCAGTTTTGATTTGAAGGCTTTAAAATTATCAAGTCATTCCTTGCTCCCATTAACAGCAGATATTTAGTCACTTTTGAGATCAAATGACAATTTTAACTTATCAAACCACTCAGACTTATTAGTAGGACAGGTGTAAATAATTGTTCCATAAGTATAGATATTGTGAAGCCATCATGAAGGTCATTGGTGAAAATTAGGAAATACCTAGGCCCAAGGATAGATCCCTGGACAACATTTGCATTAATGCAAAAAAGATCTAGAAGAGTGGCCATTCAGGACAACTTTCATTTCCCAATCTGATAAGAAAGTGAATCAGTTCAAAAATTCTTCCAAAAATGAACTTGTGAAGAAGACCAGTATGCCAAAACCCTGTCAAATGCCTTCGAGATGTGTCCAAAGCAACAGCTTGAGCTTCACTTTTCTTATCTAAAGCTTGATGGACTCTTTCTGCAATAATCATTAATAAATCAGCAAAAGCCATATTGCTTATCTGAAAGAAAACTCTGAGATGTGAGATGCTTAACCAATTCAGAGTTGATTAGGGCCACTAGTAGATTGCCAAAAAGAAGTAGAAGGCTAATAGGCCAATTGAGGGATCAGCTGGCTCAAATGTTCTTATGAACTGGAACTACAGAAGAGGATTTCCAACAAGCAGAAAGCAACCGAGAATTTATTGTAAATTTTAGAAAAAAAGGGGCACATTTTTCAATGACTATTGCAGGGATACCATCAAGTCAACATGCTTTGTGGGGAGATGACAGCAAAAAACAAAGAAAAAATTATATGCATACTACTCAACAGAGACTCAGTTTTAAGTGCAAAGTCAGGCAAAGATATTCCAGATGAGTCAAAAGTAGAATTGGAAGAGAATTTACAAGCAAAACATTTTGCTTTATCAGCAGATGTTAACACGCAAAATTGAGTGAAGAGGATGAAAGAACATATTCCCTTGTATAATATTAATATAAAAAACATTCGCTTGCATAATATTAATATAAAAAACATATTTCCTTGTACAATATTAAGATATAAACATATTCTCTTGCATAATATTAATACAAACAAACATATTCCCTTGCTTAATATTATAAAGAACATATTTCTTAGTATAATAATATAAAAAACATGTTTCCTTGTACAATATTAATATAAAAAACATGTTTCCTTGTACTATATTAATATAAAAAAATGTTTCCTTGTACAATATTAATATAAAAAATATGTTTCTTTGTACTATATTAATATAAAAAATGTTTTTTGTACTATATTAATATAAAAAATATTTGTATAATATTAATATAAAAAACATGTTTCCTTGTACAATATTAATATAAAAAACATGTTTCCTTGTACTATATTAATATAAAAAACATGTTTCCTTGTACAATATTAATATAAAAAACATGTTTCCTTGTACTATATTAATATAAAAAACATGTTTCCTTGTACTATATTAATATAAAAAACATGTTTCCTTGTACAATATTAATATAAAAAACATGTTTCCTTGTACTATATTAATATAAAAAACATGTTTCCTTGTACTATATTAATATAAAAAACATGTTTCCTTGTACTATATTAATATAAAAAACATGTTTCCTTGTATAATATTAAGATAAAATACATATTCCCTTGCACAATACTAATATGAAAGAACATATATCCTTGTATAATATTAAGATAAAAACCATATTTCCTTGTACAATATTAATACAAAAGATTATATACTTATAATATTAATATGAAAGAATATATACCCTTGTATAATATTAATATGAAAAATATATTCCCTTGTATAATATTATTATATAAAATATATTTCTTTCTATATTAATATAAAAAAACATGTTCCTAGTATATTAATATAAAATCATCTTTGCTTGTATATTTATATAAAGAAATATTCCTTATGTAACATTAATATAAAATAAAATATATTACCTTGTATATTAATACAAAAACATTTTCCTTGTATATTTATATAAAAATCATATTTCCCTGTATATTAATATAAAAACATATTCCCTTGTATAATATTAATATAAATTCATATTGCCTTGTATATTAATGTAAAAACACATTTCCCTGTATATTAATATAAAAACATATTCCCCTGTATAATGTTAATTTAAAAACATATTCATTTGTATAATATTAATATAAAAGACATATCCCCTTGTATATTAATGTAAAAACATATTTCCTTGTATATTAATATAAAAACACATTTCCCTTTATATTGATATAAAACATATTCCCCTGTATAATGTTAATTTAAAATCATATTCCTTTGTATAATATTAATATAAAAAAACAACATATTCCCTTGTACAGTGTACCCCAGATATAAGAGAGATTTTCTCTGGTCCCAAATTAAAGCCTGTGTTAATGTATACATATAGACCAAACCCGGATATAAGAGAAACCCGGATATAAGAGACTTCTTCTCCAGTCCCGACAACTCTCTTATATCCGGGTTACACTGTATATTACATCACATATGTAAAAATTATGAGTATATTTAATTTTTCCTATATACTATAATCTCCTATTTTTCTAAGCAAAATGCATCAATATATGTTATTTTAATTTGTCCAGTACACCAATTTATTATTATATTCTCAATGTTTCATCTTGTACCGATTTAATATTTATTGGTACTTATTGGTCTTTTTGAGATGATGAATTATCATTATTATTTAAATCAGCAGTCTAATCTTGGTCATTATAGTAACAATATTTCAGCTATTATATCCACCCACCTAGGTCTTCTTTACATGTCTATCATTGTACTCATTAACATCTGGTAATTATTTTGTTGTTAATAGGATTTTAGAAACCTGTCTAAATCCTTGACATGAATAACTTTGGTTACTTAAATGTAAGTAGAGATGAGAATTTCTGGAATAAAAAAACAATATCTGTTGCTTCAATACATTCATGATAAATAAATTAACACTGCAAGTTGTACTATCCAAGTACGACCAGCTGGATGCATAGAGTGGCTCTCATATAGCTATCATGCCTGACACTGAACTCATTTATAAATATCTATATTAGTGCACCCTGAAATGTAGCCAGGTGCACACTGAGTTAACAGAAGAGTAATTTATGAACTATTCTTATATTTAAAAATAGTTATTTTTTTTTAAAAAGCCAGAGGCCATGTATACAGCTTCCCTGTCTAAGTCTTTGTCATTTGATATTTTAAAATGGATACTAAATTCCTTAACCTTTAAGAAGAAGTGAATAATCCTTTCCATTTTGACTTCCTTAAGTGATTAAATCAGTTATTATTGGTCTCTCTAAAAACATAGAATCATCATAAATCCTTTTAAAATAAAACTGTGCCGTTAATTTTTTGGGGGACCAAAAATGGTAACCATTAAAGATAATTTTCTACTTAAGCCTACTATGGTAGATTACCTATCAAAACTTTAAATTATACTAAGAAATATGTTCTTTATATTAATATTAAGCAAGGGAATATGTTTTTTTTTGTATTAATATTATGCAAGAGAATATGTTATTTA